GACGGCGACGACGACTGTCGCAGTGACGGTGATTAAATCGCGCGGACAGTATCGGTACCGGCGGACTCGCGGCGATTCCCGCGTTCTTTCTCGCCCTCCGCGAGACGCGACCTCGTCCCCGTTGGCGAAGGAAACGATATCCCCGTTCCCGACGTTCCCGTGGCGAGGCGATGTGTGTTGACGTGCGCGAGTAAGACCACCTCTCCCCGCGTATCGTCCTTATCCCGTTTTCGCGAACGAGGGACCCGCGCGGGTGGATCGTCTTCTGGAGTAGCAACGACGAGAACGACGTGTGTGCGCGCGGCCACGACGGCGACGTGCGACGGCGACGTACGACGTGTAGCACCCCCGCGGCCTTCGTTTCGTCCGAGTATATCTGTGCGAGACAATATACAGCTTAGTGCACTAATAAGATGGATACGAAAACGCGTGATTTACTTCGTGAATCTATAATAATCTGTATACTATAAGATTTAACGAAAACCTTTATGGTTTTGAAGTTCAGGACACTGTAGGTTTAACCGCTGTTAATGTGCCTAATTTATTCAGTCCTTTCCCTGCAATTATAGCACGTTTGACACTGAGTGGCATTCTTTTAGTTACGACTAAGTTTGCCTTGTAAGCTTTATCAATTTATAAATTGATAAAGCTTACAAGGCAATTTATAAATTGATAAAGCTTAAGGTTTATCAATTTATATATTAAGTTTAATTAGTTAACTGCGAACGGTTTCTGTTTTATTATATTGTAAAAGAGACGTGAATAAATTACTTTCTATAAAAATACTACAGTAATTTTATCATATATATGTAATCTTTTATTTTACCTTGACCACGAGTAATATACAACCTTATTTCATATATATATTTATATACATTAATAAGGTTGTATTATTCGTTTAATGCAAGTAGAAAATAAACGTAAAGCAATAATGCATAAAATTATATTAACCTTACTATTTGGATAAATGAACCAGATTGCAGTTTTTCATCGAACAAAAAGTCTGGTTACATTAATGAGATATTGTCATCGTATTACAATCAAACGTTTTGTTGTTCTAATCCAATTTTGTCCGGTTACTTCAACCAGAATGCGACTAACTAAATTTGTCTGGTTATTTTAATAAAAATTATGGATCGTTCATTTCTCACCAAACAGTCAGGTTGTTTCAACCAGATTTCCAATTATTTCAACCAAATTTTTTTTTCCGTGTAGTTTTATTAACATTTCCGAATGGAAAATAATATCTTGAATTCTGTTTATATCGTACAGTACATCAAGGAACGCTAAAATCAAACATGTTTGTCTACAATATATCTTGAGTTTGGTTCTCGAGATTTTCTCGAGGAGAAATAACGCTTGTTCTCTCTTTCCACAACGAAAGAAGAGCACTTTGTGTCGTTATTGAACAAACAACGATATGTACTTAATACGAGCTCGTTCACGAAAGCGTGACTACGCCTATGTACGGTACCGCTCAATATACAAACTCTCTACATACGGGAACTGTTTATTCATCGGAACCAGTGTGACATATCGATCCAACATTGAACGCTTGTGCTGTACATAATTCGTCTTCATTAGTCCCTAGTACCTCTCTACCTACTAATGTACAGTTTATAGGAATATAATCTCTATTTTGCGTCATACACAAAACGCATATATTGTTTGCAATAAATTAATATTTGTGTAAACTAAATACGTAACCTTATACATATATTTTAAATACACATTATACAATATATGTTAATATATATTTCAATACATATTGTATAATTTAAGTTTTTTTTTGTAAGAAAGACGAGGGGTTTTTTGGTTCATATCTTTAGTCGCGCAAACGCGTCCGCACGTATCACGTATCCAAATCCCTCTCGAAGTACCGCCACGTTCCCTCACGTGTCGTGAATTTCTGCTGTTACAGACGGAGCTGTCGCAGAATCTGCAGCAGCTGTCGGAGAGGGCCCGCTCGACGACGGAGTTCATTCAAAGGCTCAAAGGAATGACGGATAAAGTACATGTGAGTATATGCGCGCCTTTGGCGCCCGTTTTAAATTCCGTGTCGACGGGCGCGTCAACGCGATACGGTGCCGTGAAATTGCGAAAAGATATGGCGTTAATTACATCAGCTCTCTCCGCGGGATAGAATACCGGCGTGGATTTATCTTTGATGGCCGAAGGGACAATTCGAATGTACAAAGGGTATCCGGATAGCTTACAACCTAAACCGATCGGGCTTCAAAAACACTGACGCAGATGAGATTTCTTTTGACATAGCCTTTTATTTTTCCTTTCTTTACAAAGGATGTGCGTATCAATGAATTTGATATTGGATTTCTCACATAATATCTGTACAAGCATTGTCTTCTAGTTTCGTATATGCTTAGGTATATATGTGTGCATGTGCGGAAATATAAAAAAAATTTATGTGTGCGATTATTAAAAAAAAACATACTTATTCTAAAAAAAGTTGTCATTATATTTTTATAAGAATTCTTACAAATTTTATCATTTTTCCAAAGAGGTAAAAAACAAGTTTTATAACGACAAGTATTATTGTGAATACAATAGTAGGTCATAATTTCTTCTACATCAAGCGTGTTCCATTTTCTTTAGAGAGAATTTGTTCCAGAATTTTGTCGCGCACAGAAGATTTTATATATATACATATATATATATATAAAAGTAATATCGTGTAAGATATTTCTCGAAACCATAATTACAAAGCGGATCAATCACTGTCCATTCCAGGAGGAATGCGTGGCGCTCGAGGAGGAGGTCGAGGACCGGGTGACGAACCTGGTGAGTTTGCTGCAGGCAAGAAAATCACGGTTGATCGAAGCCGCTCGGCAGACCAGGGAGGCCAGGGTGCGCTCGCTGCGAGACCAAGTGACGCGTTGCGCCACGCATTTGCAGACGACCACGGCGTTGCTCACGTTCTGCATCGAGGCGCTGAAGGAGACCGACAGCGCGGCGTTCCTGCAGATCGGCGGCATGCTGTCGGTCCGCGCGGCGACGGCCGCCGGCTCCTGGGGCGGTGCCGAGGGCGTGCAGGAGATCGCTCGTCTGCCGTTGCTGGATCTCACCCTGGACGACAAGCCGCTGCGCCGCGCCATCGATCAGCTCACCTTCGTCCAACTCAAACGTGAGTCCGCCGTGATGGGGGGAGGAGGCGAATGCGGTTTACACGGTCGCGTGCGATATCGGTGTGTGCGAGCGTAGATTGAACCTAACCGGCGATCCATCCGACGATGATCGTGAATATATCTCACGGACGGGTTTGGGTTTCCCGATAGTAACTACATCGCATTAAGACGAAAATGAGAAATGGCATGAATTTTTATCCGCGACGTATACGTCGAAATAAATGAACTTTTTGCACGCTATCATTCCCGTTTGACAGATTAGACTTGTATAACGCGACGGACAAAATTCGAAAAAAGAAATTGAATATAAAATTTTAATAAATGTATACGTACTTGGACGAGTGAGAAACTTCATCTTTTTACAATTTTGACTAAATAAAATGTTCCGGGATAACCAGTAGAACTTTGCTTTGTATTATTGATTTCGTTGCACTTCCAAAGTATCAGTTAATTAATTGCTACGGAACTCACAATCAGTCAAAGTATATCGTAGGATCTACCGCGTGTACTAGAGAGGAAATTACTCAGGAGCCAACGCGATTAGAACTAACGAACAGATAATTTCGTTGTAGAAACACGTATATAGTTTGATAAACAAGACACATTCCATTCTCTGAAATATATGCTCATTTAAGATGTCTACACGTAACATTCTATAACTTAGCGTTATGAGTAAAGCTAAAGAACTGCAACGACAATAAAATTATCTGTTAAAATCAGGAGATTAAAAAGATTTTACTTAAGGAGAGGGACACCTTCGTTAAATAATCTTTCACATTATTTTTCATTTAATCACGTAGCGTGTTTTAATAATTTAATAATTTCGTTAACAATTTTGTTAATAATTTCGCAAACATTTTGCGGAGAAGTCTTTTTAATCTCATTTTCTGACAATTCGCCGCAACAATCTCGGTTGAATAAATTAGATATTCCTCTGCTATAACGCCTGAGATAGCTCGCAAAAACATCTCGTTGGCTTCTTATCCTCGTCGGGGAAACTCATCCGTTTGGTTCGTTACGCGAACTGAATCGTTCGCGACGGCTCGCCGAATTCTAGCTCGCATTGCGTACTTATGTTACGTGCCCGATAAAGCAACGGGCGTAAAAGCGGCGTATAAACTCGTTCGAAAGACGCCTTCGTGCACGCTTAATTGACTCGTATAGACTCCTCGTTCCGCGACTACCTCGGGGGTTCGGGGGGGGGGGGGGGGGATTTAGGGGATTTATCTTTACGGAGCCCCGCGCTGATCGCGCAACTTTGTGCGCAGTCTTGTGCTCGTTGATAGTCGTTTTACCTCTCAAATGGGCGAAACGGAGGTTACACACGCCAGTATAAGCTTCGACTTTCTCGTTATTGCGTAACTCCTGAAACGCCTAGCGACGACAATTAGAGTTTTGTTATGTATAGATATTGAAATTAGCTGCAACGCTCTAGATCTTGCAATATACATCTCTTTATTAATTAATTTTGAAATATCAGACTCGATAATAGTCGCGTGAAAGGAACGATAATATATTTTACGCGGGATACTATAAATCCCACGAACGCGCAAATTAACAGAGAGTAAAAAAAAATCAGAGTCAGAGTAATATCCGGATAGAAGACAACTTTCGAGCGAGTTTTGTTTGACGTTAATGCTCTTTTGCATGTTATACGTAAGTGGATGCCAATATTTTCACCGATTATAAATCACTCTCCTGTGTGTTGGACGCAGCGTCAGAGGGGGAAGAACGATTTCCTACAGCAGGTAAAGGAAACCCAATAGTAAACGCAATCGTATAGACTTATAGACATATATTATATAGCGATACGGAAAAGGAAAACGAGAGGAGGAAACAATAATTAAGAGAGATGAAGGAGGCGTCAATCTCACCCGCCAAAGTCGTCTAGACGGCTGGGAGATGACGAAGCCGGGGGGGGGAGATGGAAGTCGAGCAGGAGGGCGGGGGGGTCCGCTTAATAATTTTACGTAGCCTGCGGGGGTGGTTCCTTTAAGCATGCCTCCTTGCTCGCGCCATATAGCTTTGCCGTACGCTAAAACGTTTCAAAAGCGGATTAATTAGGTACCGCACGGCTTTGCAGTAACTGCTGTAACGATCTGGAGGTATTAACTCGTTACAAGGAGACATCCTCTCCTTACCGCTCGCTGGGTATACACGGGGCTCTCCGTTACACGGATACCGGATGTTACACGGGGCCGATGTCGAGTCGGGAAACGTTAATCGCGTCTGATTAACGTGTTTACGGATGTATGGATAACTTAATAACGTATACGGGTTAGAAGCACGGGGAGTCACGTTAAGGCAGACGTAGCTCGAAATTTGATTCACCCGGGTGGTAAATAAAATTATCGATTTCGTCAACTCAATTTGACGATAGAATCAACTCAGAATTGGTCAAAGCACCCGTCGTTATAATTAAGGACCGCGCGGGCGAGAAACACGCTCTTATACTCGCTCATTATTTTAACAAATTTGCAACCGCACGTTTCTGATTGAAATTAGGAAAGGAGAGTTAATGAAATACAAATCTGTTTAATGAAACCTGATAAACGACTAACCGTCGAGATAGGTGTAAACTCGCTTCTCTCTATCGAGACATTTCACTTTCGTGCAGTCTTGATACAAATCGTACGGTGATATCCGAAAGTTTCTTCATTACGCACAGTTTGCTCGTCAAAGAGCGGCGCGCCTCGGTTCGTTAAAATCTGCGATCGGCAGTCACACGGAATTTCATTTACTTAACCCGGCTTTGCAAATAGCGGGAATGTGCCCCGTGGAAACTTTCAAGTTCACGATAAATTCCGCGTAAAGTTTTGCAACGAAATCACTCGAGCGTTTTGTGGAATCTAACGAATGTAATACATTAGAAAAGTATATGCACATTTCGTTGGGTGACGAGTTTCTTGTTTCTTCTTCCTTTAAACGACATGTAATATTTCACAAGGTCAATAACTATTATTTTTTTCTTTTCAGTTTCTTAAGAAATTTTATATTTTATTTTATTTTATTTATGTTTTATTTTATTTTATTTTATTTAAAATTTACAAGAAATTGGAAAGTCGAAGACTGAGAAATGAAAATAATGTATACTTATCATTAATTAACTATCGTTAATTAACAAATTTAGTTTGCACGAAGCTGTGGAACGAAAATTGGAATGAAAATTGGAAAATTTACGATCGTAATTGTAACAGCTGTTTAACAGCTTACAACGACGGTGAACGAGCAAAGTAAAAATGCGAAATTCATTTTCGTATTTTACGAGGCCGTTATGTGCGCGCGCCCGGCGCCATTTCGATTTCGGCGGAGCGAACTTAATCGAACATAAAAATTCTGTCATATTGAGACGAGGGAGAGACAAGAAATCGAAGATGAACGACGATGAATCGTCGATATTCCCGCGAACAGGTGCTTCGCATTCTTAAATTTCGACTTTATTGCGGCGTGCGATATCTCGAGTTTTATGACACGAAAAATTGCTGGATTTCTCGGGCCGCCACTAAATCTCGTTATTATCTGCTCCCGTGATTTTAAAGGCGACCGGGCTATTCTGAAATTAAAAGTTTGTCGCGGAATTCGTGCGTCTCATCGTATTTCGTTTTATAACTCAATGCTTAAAGCTGCATGTTAAAGTAATACGTTCGATTTCTAATTTTGTACCTCATAATTAAAGATCGATATAACGTTCACTCACGATCAATTCCACGCACCGTCAACCGCGTTGAACTCTAAAAGCCCCTTTTTACTTGTCTCTTATTAATTTCATTATCAAAAGTCCCTTATTTATTCGATTATTATAAATGCTAAGCAGTTAGTTATGTTTTTTATTTATTTACAAATATTCACGCGTTATGTGCTTCCTGTTTAAGAACTCTTGCACGTATTACAAACTAGCTGTTATTCCACATTTAATGTACATCGAATATTTATATGTAATAAATAATTTAAGTAATTAGAGATAATATTTTATTTAATATGTCAAATATGAAATAACCATCAATTTATGATGCGTGAATATTTAAACAAAAAACAGGCTTTTCGAATACCTATATGTTCCATTAATGCCCGTTTTCACCAACATCGTTTAACTTGAACCTTAGTTTAATTCACTCTTTGGGAGCTTTCCAGCAAGCGACACAAGTCAACACAAGCATCGTTCTATCTTTCTTTTTTGGTAATAAGTAACAAAGATAAAACGATACTTGTGTCGACTTGTGTCGCTTGCTGGAAAGCTCCCTCCTTTGTTTCTAAGTCCGGTTGACTGTTAGAAAGAGACAAAGAGAATTGAACTAAGGTTCAAGTTAAACGACGTTGGTAAAAATGGGCATAAGCGTTCAAATTCACGCACTTTTAATCCCATGTGTACAAACTACAGACACGGTATTGTTATACATATTTATTGATTGATAATGTAAATTAAAAGATGTAGATTATTTATTTAATTGCTTACAAGCTATTTTTTTGAATTATTTGTTACTTATTCCATATTAAAATATGCAATGAATTTATGCAGAATTATAAATTGTATTTTGAATCGAAAAGTCGAATATCGTATAGTATAACGATCAATTTTATCGCTTGCACGTGTTGCCTAAAAGTTCAAAGAGTCAAAAGACATCTTGAATCAAACACTAATTAACAGGACATTTTATTTTTTTATTTTTACAGCATAAAAAAATCAAGATGACAAGATCAGGTGTTTTCAATTTTGAAACTGAGGTAGTCTGCAGCATTACAAATATTTCTATTGCACGTTATTGAAATTTATAGCTGCATGACATTTGACTACCTCGAAAGAGGAGAACTATATTATGGAGTAAGTATTCCTGTTTAAAATATTTTTACGCTTACTACTCTCGGGACAGGACTATTCTGTCACAAATGTTCATACAATAACGCTGACATTGAATTTTGTATGGGCAATTAATATATAGTATTGCCCACACCAAACCAGATAAAAAGTGCGTAATTTGAATGTCTAATCAATTACAATTTGCACTTTTATAATTTGTGGACGCCTGTTGGAGAGAATGAAACGTAAGGTTGTAAATGATGTCCATGATGATTCTCCAAATTTCTCCAGACCAGACTACCGCAGTTTCAAAATTGAAAACACCTGATCTTGTCATTTTTGATTTTTCCAAAAATACAGTCGCGACTTTGCGAATACCAAGTAGTATGTGCCCAATTCGACTCTTATTGTTAGTTAAAGCTATCGATGAGGGCAATGAGTATTTTTGCTGAATTTGTTTATATACTTTGTTGACGCGACCAGACGCTCGCGAGAAAGCGCGTTTGCCCGTGGCTAATTAGCGTAGTGCCGTGCTGCCATCTTGGTAGGGGCACACGCGGCCATCACAATAGAGTTGCATCCACGCGCGGCAAAAAGGAAATTATAAATATTTATGATTTTAACGCATTTATTTATTAGAAGATAGTTCTCTTGCTAAAAAATATTAAAATATGACTAACATCTTCGCGAAGAAGCGGATGCATATTCGCAATCAGTGGCCTCAATCCCAGACAGCACGCATGTCTAAATGACATCATAATCATGTCCTTTCAACATCTTTTAGACGCGTGCGTGTTGTGATTACTGTAAATGTAACAGGAATGTAAAATGAAAATTTCTTTTCTTTGTTCATCGCGAGATTTAGCGGAGAATGAATATCGATAGTGTTATTCTTGTGCTTCTTGTAAAGTTTAACGTCAATTTTCATGATATTTCTTGCACTTTGACGCTTAATATTCTTCCTATTTAGCCCAATAGATTTCTTTCCACTATAGATAAAAAAGGAGGGCGAAGAATCGGTCTAGACATCCGGCGGAAAATTAAACGCGGGCTTGTCGCGGACGAGGCTGACGACCGTACAATGCGACGTTAATGTCCCGTACGTATGTCTCGCCGAGATAACATGGGTAAACGGGAATTCTACCTCCTCGACGCTGGCAGATTAATTCGCTCATTAATTTATGCGCCTGCGATGCTGTAATCGCGCTCTATCGTCAACGACCGTTCTTTTAACAAAAACAACAGTGTTTCTCTTAGCAACCAAGTTCTATAGTTATCATATATCGACCGAAGCTCTTAATGCGAATATTTTATTCAAAAGACGTATAATTAAGTTTCTCTATATATAGAGATAGAAAAGAATGGGATATTACATAATGTCATAAAACAAACGTAATATTATTCAGAAATATTTTTGGTCAGAAAAGATAAACTGATTTATTCTTTCGTATTTAATATTTATTTAAAGTCTAGTTTTTTTCTTATTAAAAAAATTTTTACTTTTTATTTAAATTATTAATTCAGAATCTCTTTTCTCTATAATATGTTATACATATATAATGAACTTTATAACGACTTCGAAAAGTTAATCATTTAAATAAGAAGTAAAGATTTTAATAAACTTCATAAGTCAAGTCTGCTAGTTTCTCTTTTCTTTTCATCTTATATTGTAACTTTTATCATAATTACTAGAAAGAAATATGTGAGGAAATAAATACATCCATCTGCGAATGTAATGTAAAGAAAAGGAATTATCGCACCGTATCGAAGTCAAATCAAAAGTACAGGTAATCGAGGATTGTCAAGAGTTTGAAAGAAGCGAGGAAACTCCGTCTTTTGAACAAACAGTTGTCTCGCGTTTCCAGAAACGAAACTGCCGAAGCGAACGTGATTATTTCAAGAATGCTTCTGCGCTCGGAGTGAAGCGTGAAAGATCGTCTTCAGCGAACTTCG